AGAATAAAACGCTCAAATTAGCAGACGAATAGCAGAAAGAGTAGAATTTTAGCAGAAACAACAGAAAAAGGCTAAAATTAGCAAAAAAAGAGGCTAAAATTAGCAGAGGGAAGGTTAAACATAAAGTGCTGTGAAGATTTATAAACATATTTGAAGGATTTTAAAGATTTTGCAAAATCTCCATTCAGTTTCAATGGGAAAAGTGTGGCCGAAAAAGTGAAATAGTTAAAAAGTATAACTTGAAATACCAAAAGCCATAGTTGGCATGTCCTGAAGGAGCTGGATGTTTTGATTTGCTTTGTATTGTTGGACTTGCGACCTGTCCAGGGTGTACCCCGCCCCTCGCACTGTGACTGCTGGATATGGGCACCAGTGACCCACGCAACCCTGAAAAGGAAGAAGCGTGTACAGAAAATGGATGGATGGATGGATGTATTGTTGAAATGGCTCAAAAACTGCGGAACAAGATAGATGCCATAAAACTTACTGAAAAAAAGACCTCAGTAATTAAAAATGTTCTGACACTCATTATTTAACAGTAAAGAGACATATTTTCTTTAACCTTCATCATGTCAGTTCCAGATTCAAAGTAAGTTTGATGTTTTGCAAACTTTAAATATTTTCATCATTTTTCCAACAGACAAGTCAAGAACTCATTAACTTTGATGCTGTTGAATACAAACTAGAAAGTCTTCCTGGCATCCAACACACCGCTGATCGCTTTAAGACACTGAAGGTAATCATAACTACATTATTTTTACTTTCACATGGCAAAATATCATAAATATATGAGTGAACTGATTGAGCTGTGTTCCTGCAGGTGAATGAGTACCTCCTGCAGCTGTATGAGGACGCAGAGTCCTTCAGGCTGCACATYGACTGGCTGAAAGCAGCTAAAGAAAACGTCACTTTGCCCTTCAAGGCAGAAGAGGAAGCCAACTCCCAACTTCTGCATCTTTCTGGACTCATCAAAGACTCCCTCCACCAGGTGAGTCGACCCAAACAAAACACCAAAAAGAAAAACCTGGAAAACTCAAATTCAAACAAAACAAAGAGCAACAATAAAAACAGAGTTTGTGAACAGTTTAATCAAATTGAACTAAAAGTTTTTACATTTTAAAGTGTTACCATAACATGTTTTTTTCCTTTCTGTCTCCAGCTTAAAGAAGAGCTTCCTCAGGTGACGGCTCCCTCCCTTCCTGTTGTCTCCAACCCCTTTGAAGCTCTCACTTTTTCTGTAGAGATTTCAGAAAGGCTTCGAATTTTCTGTATTTGGTCCAAAAGAATCTTGACGCACTTACGCTGCCCCAGATATTAGGACACCCCCACCCCCCCCACCCCCCAGCCTGGAGGGACATAAAAACTGCCTTCCTCTAAAACCACTGTTAACTTCAGGCAGGTTGAATTGTTCGTCATGCCAGTGGACTACCTCAAGATGGCAGGGTCGGTCAGTCTGAAACGTCGGTGCTCACTGCAGCCCAACATGTAGAAATGTTCAGGTGAAGCTTTGAAAACATTTGCATTTCTGTGGGTCAAACATTTTGAAGAATTCTGAACGTTGTGATAYTGAGTCAAATATCTTACCAGATGTTTTCAACAATATTACAGTAAATTTAAAACTTTAGTTTGTCAGATCGCAGACTACCAGCAAAACCATCAGTCCCTTTATGAATAAACCTTATAGTGGCATAGTTGGCATGTTACCTGCTCACATGTTCATTTGGAGCTAGATTTGTTGTGGTCATGTTATCACTGATAATATAATCAACACAAAAAACTAAAGCATTTTTTATTACAACATAGTGAAGTTTTAACTTTCCTAAATATAGTTTAAGGCTAAAGCTAACTTGGGCTGATTTGTGTGATGATATTACAGAGGCTTAAATTATTAGTGTCAGAAATGTATTTTTACATCATTTTAAGATATGCTATTTRTTCTATTATATTAAAACAACATTTCAAGTATCTTATAAAGTTTAAAAATATATAAAACTAAATAAATATTGAGAAGTAGAGTTAAKCTGCCTGACATGTATTTCCACTCTGCTCCTAAAAGGATTCCAGCTATAAGGATGGACTTTTTTCTGATTAGTTTTTAGAATAATTAGATCATGCTAGCAGAATACAAGCCACACATTTTCATTGTTGTTGTTAGAAGCAGATGTTTGGCTCAAAGTTGCACCTGTTGCAGAAACAAGTAATTTTTTTACAGCTTCTAACCTGAAGCTCAGTCTCAGTTCCACTCTGATCTGATGGTGCATCGTTTACAAGACTCCTCTCAGAACAAGTTGTCATAACTTTCTAAAAACAGAGCAGAATGTAGAATATTTATGTTGTGTTTAAAACAAAATTTGTGTTACATTGTCCGTGTGACTGAATGGTTTGAATGCACTGAGGTACTGTCCCCTGCTCATCCCACTGAGACTGTTTACACTCACMGTGCCTGCTATTTATCAGGATGATGAGCTGAACGACCAGGAAACAAGTGTAATATTATTATTTTTATAATGTTTTTAATCTATTTAGAATGCTATTTATGAGCTTTTTATAAAACCTATTTGAAACTATTTAGTTTGGGGTGCAGGCATCTCATTTTTTGTATTGTTATTTTATTATATATTATTTAATAACATTAATATTAAACTTTTGTTATTACGGCATCTTATAATGTACTATTTATGCATTTGAAATGTTTTGTTTGTTTTTCATGTTTGAAGTAATTATTAAAGCCTTGAAACAGTGTGTGATTTCTCCATGTTAATGAACTGTAATATAAATATAATTTACATTCAGTCATCAGTGAAACACGTCTGTCCCAYATTAACTCACTGTTGTTCCCATTTCATCAGATATAAACACTTATTCATGATATTTGACACAAAAACAATTCATGCATCATTTATTGACCTAATAATAAATAGTTTCCCAGGACACAAACAATAAAAGTAACAAAACTATATATCATTTCATGTAGAGTCACAGATGATTTTTATGAAATTCAATTATTTCCCCAGTGTTTAATCTAATAAATAAATAAATAAATAAATAAATAAATAAATAAATAAATCTGCTTCTGAAATCATTGCTAATAGTTTATTAAACTAAAAGTGTGAGGGATGTAGTGACACCTAGTGGTGAAACATTAAAACTTCAACTACAATGGCTGCAAAAAGGTAAAACAAAATGCAAATTAAAATAAAAATAAAAACAAACAAACAGATAAATGAATTCATAAAAATAAAAAAATCTGGTAAGCCAGTATGTTTTATTGTTTTAACGTTCTGTGTGAAAAACAAATTAACTGACCACATATAAATCTCATTTTTACTACACAAAACAATCAAAAATACCATTGAATTTCTGCCCCATACACTATGTTACTAACATATTATCTGAATGCATTTATTCATACTAAACTAATTTATTTATTTAGCATTATAAAATACAAATATTAAAATGCTTGCAAAGACAAAATACTAAACTTCGGTAAAAACTTCACTCAAACATTATCCTGCAAATTAAATAATTAATGAAATCCAAAATAAACATGCTTATTTAAAGTGTTTTAAAGTGCTAATATGAATACATTCAGTGATTTTCAGAACAACATTATTGAGTTTGTGTGCATATAGTGTAATAAAGTGTAATTTGTACAGAATTAGTTTTATATAGAGTAATTTTTTGCAGCATTCTATAAAACAATAAAGTATCAGCTCCTGCTGAACAAACTTGAATAAATGCTGTAAAAATGTGTTGATAAACTTTGGTTTTGTTGTTAAAATGCAAAACTTCTTTAAGTTTAGAGAAAATTATCGTCCACTGAGTGACACGTGGAGAGATGTGTGGAGCCGTGAACTGAGGTGACACAGAGGGACTTGCATAATGTCAGTGTGTTGACACAGGACCAGACAGATGATCTCTCATTCACACACTTGTGTGTAACCCATCCACACACACACACACGCACACACACTTTCATTGTGGCTCCTGCTGGCCTCCCTGCTCAGTTGTGTACAGTATGTGTGGACCTCTGGTGACAGCTGACAGCAGGATTTACAAATCACACGGGGTCTTGGTGTTAGAGGAAAATCCTTTGACTGGTCACAGAGAGTCAAGTGTGTGTGTGTGTGTGTGTGTGTGTGTGTGTGTGTGTGTGTGTGTGTGTGTGTGTGTGTGTG